TCGAAATGATCACCCTACATATAGAAGCAGAAAAGGATTCATTCAAAACAGGGATTTGTATTCTCAGAACTTTCACACAATGAGAATTACGGATCCCCTCATTCTCCGTATCCGTATGCCGGTCTCCCACCGCGCCGCCGGCCGAGCTCGGGAAACGGCACGCGCGCGCGTCACACAAAAATCGTTCTAAAAGGCAAATCCGCAAGAATCCGCAGCTGATTTCAACGCTATTTTATTCTAGACACTTTTCCGATTCCGAAACACTAAGGCTCTAAGCTCAACTCGGTTCAACTCATAAACTAATTTTCCATTGAATATTGAAATTTTTATGACACAAAAGAGAAGAAGAACGCTTTCGTTTGGACGTCGCTGACAGGTGCCAATATCAAAATTATCATTCAAAGTTAGTATATAAATACTTCACTTACCATCGCGATGAAAATCCATCGGGCCCGGAAAAGATGTACTCTTCTTATAAACAAAAACTTTCGGGTGCACGCGCGAGGCAATACTGCAGCGTCACGCGCATTCGGCTGAACGTTCAACTTTGAGCGGCTACCTGCTCGAAACTAATGCACGGAAACATCTGTCCTTTAAAATATCTCGACAGTAACGCACTTTAAACACGGTAAAGTGAAATTTATCCGGATCGGTAACAATGCGTTATTGGGATTTTCGACCACTGTGCGACTGGTGCGTGCGTTGCCTGCTCAACGGCGAGCGAAAATTTCACTGTGTCTCTTTGGTTAAGTTTCCGTTTACAATTCAATTGCATAAGAAAAAAAAAATACCAAATTTGGTTGCAAAAAATCCAATATGCATTTCGAGTTTTGGTAGCTTAATTTTTGCAATGCTATGCGTCAAACATTGGTAGCATTAAGCATTTTGCAAAAACACAAAGCAGTTCTCGACTTGTAAGCCCATTAAATGGGTCATCAAATTTACTGAAATGCTGACAAAAACGAGTTACTTTGCAAAACGTATCTTTAAAATCCGCCAAGAACGATTATGCGTGGCTAATTGAATTTTAATTTGAACTTACTAGTCCGGAGTCCGGGCATCATTTGTCAGTCTTATACGAAAGCTGGACGTTTTGCAAGGTTAATTCAGGTCTACTTTATCCCTGATAAGGGCCCTAGGTAGTATGTCATATCGTTGCGATGTATTGAATATCGTAATCTGTCTTCAAAGATGCTTAATACTTTGCATGTATATACGCCCATCAGTAGATTAACCGAAGAAGCTTTTAGAACAGAGTTGGCCACCCCATAAGCACGAGTGCCAAGCATTTTTAAAGGCGAGTTGGAGACAAGCCGCTGTAGATAAGTGATAGAGGTGGTGCAAGTCAAAATTTCTTGACTTGTTCTGGGCCCTTTTTTTATCTTGCTCGCGCCTAGTTTAGGACCAGTTCGGGATCATTTCGGAACCTGTTCTGTACTATTTCAGGACTAGTTCACAATTATTTGAGGAGCACTTTGGCACTGGTTCGGGACCATTTCGAGTTTTGTTCAGGACTTTTTAGGAACATTTCAGCCCTCGTTTGAAATCATTTTGGGACTAGTTCAGCACCATTTCGGGGCTAGTTCATGACTATTTTAGGTCCACTTTGGGCTTAGGGATTTTTCCCCCGTTTCAGTGCCTATTCAGAACCGTTTCGGGACTAGTTCGTTATCATTTCGGGATTGTTTCCCGACCTATTCAGAAATATTTCAGGATCATTTCGGAACTAGTTCTTGACTATTTTACCGTAGTTCAGGACTATTTCGGGACTGGTTCAGGACTATTTTAGGATTATATCCGGTCAAGTTCGGGATCATTTTGGGTCTAGTAAGGGACCATTTCAGGAGCATTTCAAGACTTGTTCTAGATCCTTTCGGGGCAAGTTCACGATTTTTTTCAGAACCACTTCAGGACAATTTTGAGACTCAGTTTGGGATCAAATTCGGGGTAGACCGAAACTAGTCACGAAATTATCCTGAAATAGTCCTGATTTTTCCCCGAAATAGTTTAAAGTGTACACATCAAATTTCCAAATTACCTGGCGCACACACCTTTTTTTCTAACACCGGTTGCCCATCGGTGTGCAATGGCGAATCTCCGAGTGTGTTTCTGCCTTGAAAAAGCTTCCCATAAAAACCATTTGCCGTTCGGAGGTGACGCGTAAAATTGTAGGTGCCTCCATTTGCTTTATAACATCAAGAAGCACATCACAAATTGGAGGAGAAGCTCGGTCAAGCACTTAGCAAAAGTGTAACCGAGCAAAAATTTATACTTACGGGTTATTGTAACAAGCCATTTCCAGCCTTTTATTAGTTCGGGATTTAGCTACCTTGTCGTTGCGTCGTCTCCTCGCTAGCGGATATTGCGGACGAAAGAACTAGCAGTTCGTTGCAGCTCTCAAAAAAATACGTTAAAATTAAAACAACAAGTTCTCTTGGCAGCCATAGGAGCGAGTAACCAGTGTACATAAGTGAGATCTTGTCGATCGGCCAAGCTAACCCTGCCTAACCTGGTTTATGAACAAACCATAAAAGATTATCGGGCATCAAAGAGCTAAGGTGTTCTCCCATATTTACATAACTAAAGTGGAACTGAGGCACAAAAAGTGTCCTGCTATGTCATCCTCTTCAAGGCAGGAAAGGTAATCAGGGTTGTTAGGTATGACTATAACTGTTTAAAGTCAGTTCTTTTTAGCACAAAAAAAGGCCAGTCCCTTATGTTCAGTCGAAGCAGATGACTGTCTGACATTGAATGTACGTGGCATAAGTTTTGGAGATATCGATGACCGAAGAAACCAGAAGTGGATTCAAGGAACAACTATACAGAGTCCAGATTTTAAATGTAGTTAAAGTGTTGGCAATGCCTTGCGTACACCTTGGATTTCACTGCATACACCTAAGTACCACCTCTCCGTTAACGAAGTCTATGAGCTTGGGCTTACATATTCTACATAGCTCGGGTACATATTCTCAAAGAGAGAAATAAAGCTTGTCATGGTTAACTTTCATATGGGCCTAAGATCCTGACACAGAGTTAACTTTGGAGCCATACATAAATACGTCAATATTTAAAGGTTTACTAAAGAAAATTTAATTAAAAAAAGAAAAACAAATTTAAATAAAAACAAGGAAAAAATTAAATAAGTACCTAAAAATTTAATTGAATTAAAAAAAAATATGTTTCTAGATTTTGAAAATACAAAGGCCCGTAGTTATAGTCAAAATAAAGTCGACTCTAAAGTAAAAATAAGCTTTTTTTGACAGATATCCCATTGAAAGTTATGTCAAAAAGCTGCTTTTAACTTTAGAGTCGACTTTATTTTGACTATAACTACGGGCCAATGTTTCCTAAAAATTAAATAAAATAAAATAATTAATTTTTAAAACATTATATTCTTGAAATTAAAAAAGAAAGAATTAAATGAAAAAAAAATTAAATAAAATAAGTTCCTAAAAATTAAATGAAACTTAAAAAAATTTTTAAAAACTAAAAAAAATTTTAAAACAATAATATTTAATTTTTAAAAATTAAATTAAATAAAATCATTAAATTTTAAAACAATATATGACAAAATTAAATAAAATAAGTTCCTAAAAATTAAATGACATTAAAAAATATATTTTTCTTTTTAAAACAATAAAATTTAAAAACTAAAAAAAAATTATTAAAAAAAGGAGAAAAGAAAATTATTTCCCAAAAATTAAATGCAATTAAAAAAAATTCTCTTCAAAATAATAAAATCTTAAAATTAAATTTAAAAAGAAAAATTTAAAGAAAGAAAAAGTTTTTTTCTAAAAATTAAATTAAATTAAAAATATATTTTTATTTTTAAAACAACAAAAATTAAAGGAAAATTTAATATAAAATAATAATTTAAAAGAATTTTGCTGGCCGAGGATTCCAACCTCGGATTTCTTGAATGACACGCTTGTGCTTTGCTCACTCGACGATTGCGACTGTTGGAGCAGTGCGAGCAAAATGATATATGTATATACATCTCCATTTGGAACTTGCTCAAGTACTTTCTGTTAAAAGAGAAAACTCTTCACCATGAAGTTGGAAAGGGGGCTTTTTTTTGTAAGACTTGCATGCCAGAATGAACAATTTTTTCAAACTATCTTGCCTACTATCTTTTAATTGTATAATATATCATGCTTTCAGATTCGACTGTAAATGCCAAAGATATGACAAAAAAAAAATACTTTCGAAATCGCCTGGCAAAAATTCTTTCGACTAAGGGGCGTACAGCGGACTCTTCGTTTTCGTGCGGTCTGATGTATGTATACCCTAGTTAGGGTTTCTGGCAGATAAATATTAACCCCCAGGTGTTTTAGAGAAACAACACCTACAATAATACTTCAAGCCTTATAGCCTATTTCCACCACAAACTTAACTGCAGTTAAGAGCTTAGTAAGCTCCAATATTCTAGCGTGGGGTGATCAGCATGGTTTATTTCTTACTTTTCGCTTTTTTACTTCCGTTTGCTTACACTTAATATGAGCAATTACCCCCCTTCGAGTGGTAATCTCCTTTTTTCCAAGCGGCATAAACTGCAATTAAGGTTTGGTGGAAATGAACTACTAGAGCTTTACTATAAAGATACTACACCTCTTTTGGGTCGCATTGCCATAGAGTATTTAATAAGTTTAGATGATGTACGTAAAACGGATTGGATTATACGTTCTATGAATTCTGAGAAACTTACGGTTATAAGGTGTATTTTAAAACTAGTTTCAGATGAGAAAACCTCGTTAAGAATCTTAAAAAGCGGCACAAATAGTTAGGAACATCTCAATGACCTAATTGAACTAGGAAATAATATTGGAAGTTAACAAATATTTCTACATACATATTGGTTCCAAAAGCGATAGTTACGCAGAAGTTTGCGCTTAATCAATGGATGCAAAATGAATATAGTGTTATAGTACATGGAGCACAAAGTGAATAGAAATAATTTTAAATGAAGTCATTGTGATACTAATTTAAAAAAAAATAAGTAGTGTAGCAAAAAAATGTACAAAACATCAACGCAGAAATATACAACGAGGCTTTCAAACCTATCAAGGATCTTATGGATTATAGGTAAAATCTTAAACATATGCAACTTATAGATGCATAACTTAGCTCTACTAACAATCAGTGCTTCTAAATACTTAACATGTGTATCTTAATTATTCCCCACGCAGTCATTCTCGTACTACCTTATACACAAGCCAAATCAATATTCAATTATGGCCAACCATATCCGTTCGGCATCGACGCCACAACAACGACAACCACACAACTGCCACAAACAACAACAACCGAAGCCTCAGCACGCGATATAGTAATCGGTCCCTGTCGTTGGGTTATCGAACGCAAGTGTCCCGATAAGGATATACGCTTCTACTTGTATACGCGTCGTAATCCTGTAGATCGGCAATGTTTGCACATCGATGAAACGCTGGACAAGTCGAACATAACAAATTCGAATTTTAATCCACGTTATCAGACAAAGATCATCATACATGGTTACAATGCGGATATGTTTATGGGTACACTGCAGCGCATGCGGCAAGGTGAGCAGCTTCAACTCTTACTACTCGTAATTTTTAACTAATTTGTGATTTCTCTCTCTCTCTCTCCCTCACTTTCTCTCTCTCAACGTTTTAGAATACTTAATGCGTGATGAATACAATATTATCTATGTGGATTGGGCTATATTGGCGCCAGGCCCCTGTTATTTGAGTGCCGTCCATAATACCAAACATGTGGGCGCCTGTGTGGCACAGCTTGTGGAGCGCATTCTAGAAATGGGTACTACCGATATGCATGTCATAGGTTTCTCGCTGGGTGCGCAATTGTCGAATTATGTTGCGCGGAATTTGGGCTCATTTGAGCTGCCGCGAATAACGGGTAAGTACTCTGCTTTGCGATAATGACAACCGGGTTTGAGGAATTAACCGAATGTACTACTATATTAAGTTATTACAGAACGAATCCCCTGAAGACTAGCCACATTTAAGATGGCTCCAAAAGTGCCTATGAGCTTCTTTTCACTAACATAGGGCAAGTTAACTCTGTCTTTAAGACATACTCACTGCATCCAAGAACCCGACTTATCTCATTTGGGAACCGGAGCACAATGGAGTCGTGGACAATGAACTGGTAGATATTATCGCCAAAAAAGGGGCTGCATAGGGATTCATAGGCCTATCACCTTTCGTTGGTCTGACGTGAAGCTTTGTTACACTTGAAGGAATGGTTCTTCTTGAGACTCGCACCCTTTCATATAAATTGTAATTTCCTGGAAAATGGGTTCTACAAACATTTCAGAATAGATGATTTTCAGAATAGCATGGAATAAGAAACTAAAAGGTTCATTATAATGACTTCCAGCGCCATTTATATTTCTGCCTTCGAGACGTTAAAAATAGAAACGTTTAACCAAACCGCTCTCATTTCGATGGCTGAGTGGAAGATCGACCTATCGCGGCAGTCGGTTCGAAGACGCCCTATCTCAGAAAACTTTTCAAGAACGCCCTACTTCAGAATTTTATTGAAAAACAACCTGTTTCAGAATTTTATTGAAAAACTCTCTATTTCAGAATTTGGTTGAAGAACGCCCTATCTCAGAATTCGGTTCAAAAACGCCCTATCTCAAACGAAAATACATACATTGAAAATAAGCTGAGACAGGGCGTTTTCGAATCGGCAGCTGAGATAGGGCGTTATTCAACCAAATTCTGAGGTAGGATGTTTTTCAATCAAATTCTGGAGTAGGGCGTTCTTGAAAAGTTTTCTGAGATAGAACGATGTAGAAAATTTTTCTGAGATAGGGCGTTTTTGAACTGGCTACCGAGACAGGTCGATCTTCCACTCAGCCATCGATTTGCAACCAGGAAAGCCAGACGATTGACCTCTTGTCAGATTGAGAGTACTGGGCGAAAATAAGGACTTATGCAGCCGCTACTACACGGGTCGGCAGCTAGGGTATGTGCAGGTTTAACCCCTAGAGATGCGGTCAAGGGATCTACTTACGCTCACAAACTCTTCGTATCTCTCAATTATGGTGGCTGTTTTGACGATATAATGACCGCTGAAAATTCACGCCTCGCGACTAAATATCGAGGTGGAATCACTGTCTTAAGTTGCCCAGCTCTTGCGAGGCTGTATACTTAGCATCTTGAATCGAACTTTTTAACTAGCCATGAAGAACTCGCTGGGTCTGACATATTCCTCTTCGGAATTTTTTCCTCTAGGCTAAGTTCCCTTACCGTTATCGTTCCCATCAATGCTTATTGATATCACAAAGATCACATTGTAATAGCCCAAGTACACCCCCGCAAAGAGCCAAATGAGAACAAAAGTATTGAGAGCAGTTTGAACGGGAACAAAATGAGAACAAAAGGTTCGGGAATATTTCCGTAAAGAACAAAATGCGAACAAAACTCTTGGCAACGTACCAAGAAGAACAGTATTAGAACTTTCGGGAACGTTTCCAATGAGAACAAAAGTATCGATAACGTTTTCAAGGAGGATCAAGTAAGAACAAAAGTCTGGGGAACGTTCTGCTAGAAAATAAAAAACGAGAACAAACGTTTTGAGAACTTTCCGTTAAGAATGAGAGGGGCAAAAGGGCATCTGCGTCTTGGGATGAGAAATTGTTTCAGTGAGAACCACGATTGTTAATTCTAAGCTAGAGGAATGTTGGATCATTTCAATTTCCAGATCGTTTATCGTTAGGGTAAACTTTCCATTTATGGAACAACTTTTAATTTTTTGTGCACGAAAATTTCGTGTCTTACGTCTTTCGTTGACTTTATTTTCTTTTGAATTTTGATATTCAAACATTTTAAACTAACGGAATGCTATGAGAAAAATTTTGTTTTCGCTTCCTTTCTTCGCGAATAGTTCTGAGAAGATTTCTTTCCGTTTCGTTCTCTGTCAGAAAGTTCCTGAGACTTAAGTTGCCTAATTGTTAGTGCGTTCCAGAATGTCTACGATTTGCAGGATTTAGTCCAAAGTCGTTCCCGTACGCCACGTTCACATAAGGTTTATTAAAAGCGAAAACAGCTGTTCCTGAACAAGCTGCAAATCATGCATATCGTGAAGTACGGGAACAGGCTATGTGCTTCGAGAGAAAATTCCTTAGACTTTTGTTCTTTGCCAAAACATTCCGTTCCCATTTCGTTCTCTTAGAAAATTTCCCGAAATTATTTTGTTCTCTTCGGGAACGTTCCATAGGGTTTTGTTCTCATATAATTTCCATTGAGAACGTTCTCAACAGTTTTATTCTCATTTCCGTTTTGGTTTTGAAGCGTTCTTGTGAACAAAGCTAAGAGAACAACATTTTGTTACTCGACAATAAACGGCAAGGCTCAGACTGACTCGCTTTCTGTAAGGTCTTCGATACTGCGCAAAACTGCGTTAGGGTGGTATATCTTCATATCGACGTGAATTCTTGCAATTAGTTCTTAGTCCTAAGTTGACTCTTATAAGCATTGGAAGCTTGAGGCCTACTAATTTTTTCTCCGCCTAAATAGTTCGCAGGTTATCTGGCTTCAGTTGGTTATAATGACGCTTGTGTTTGGACGCTTTCTGACTCCTCTTTTTTTT